AGTCTCCCTAGGTTCCATGGGCCTCCCGCCATACCCCATTGACCATTCTCCTCTTGGATGACATTGAAATCCTAAAATTCCTGCCTCTAGTATCATGGCTATAGGCCTATGTCACCATGCCAGGCTTAGGTGGCTTCACCTTCATATAGAGTCATTAAAATGATGGGATGACTAAGATGAGCAATTACACTTAAATATATTCAAAAAACATTTATCTCCATCAGCCTAGTTTTCACTATCTCTAGAATAAAGACAGTACTCTTCCTTAGTCCCTTGACGAACTATAAAAGACTCAAAGATAAAGAAAAACAATATTTCTCATAGATGGAAGACAATGAACTTTAAGGCAGAAGGGCTGCACTTGACGGAAGCCTTCTTCTGTTCCTGGAGTTAGGATCAGTGTTTGTGTCCTGACTACCCTAACAAGCCAGGCTCAGCCACTCACTCTTACTAAGCCAATTAAAAGAACCAAGTTATACTAGGTGGTGGTAGTGCATGCCTTTAATCCTAACATTTGGGAGGCAGAGGCAGATGGATCTCCATAAATTCAAGGCCAGCCTGGTTGACAGAGTTAGTTCCAGAACAGAAAAGGCTACACACACACACACACACACACACACACACACACACACACACACATCAAAAAAACAAACAAACAAAAAAAAAAAACAAAAAAAACCTGTCTTGAAGAATCTCCCCAGAGAAAGAAAGAAGTTACTGTCTGTGATTTGCCCACCTATAATTGAGGTACACTAGACACAAGGTGAGCAAATCTCTCTGATGTTTTAGAAGAGCCTATATAGTGAGTTCAAGGCCAGCCAGAGATTCATAGCGAGACTGTTATTTAAAATTAAAAAAGTAGAAAAGGAAAAAGAGCAAACTACTAATAAAAAAATAATAAACACAACTGCTTTTCAGTGTGACTAATTTGGAACAGTGATGAAGATATAAGGTAATTAATCCATCCTTGCATTCTTAATAGCTTTAGATAGACAACAAGAGATATGCACAATTAAGTAATATAACTAAGCCATATAATGAAAGTTTTCCCATCTCTCAAACCTCCCCCTGTTGCGTTAATGCCTGCGCTAACGCTACCCATTCACCATGTCCGAGCGAGGGGCTGTGGATTAAAAAATACGAGACAAGAGACAGCGAGTCATTTGCCACAGCAGAATGCCGAATGCCGTTTATTGAAAGAGGGAGGAAACCTTAAATACAGGCTTACAGCACAATGGAGGATCCCTGGAGGACAGAAGTTCACTACCGAATGTTCTACATTCTCACATCTAAGCTGTTTACACCAAATGCAGGATACATGAACAAAGAACCTCCAGTGATCTTCAGTAAGAAGGAAACTGGCAGGGAATCAGCATAGGGAGGACATCTGGTCAAATCGGCAAGCAAGGCAGCGGCCACTCACAGTGGGGGGCCAGGGCCCACATCCCCCAACCTCAGCTCCTGTCTCTACTGCAAGTGGTCAGATAAGGAGTAAATGTCACTTCAGTGGAGACATTCTCATCTGGAGGAGTCAGTCTTTTCCCACAATGAAAACCCCAGGGAAATCAGAATTTCATGATGTCTACTGTTTGACTAGTTGTTATCCAAAGGGAGAGATATAAATGTCTCTTAGAATATCCTTATTCCTGCAGGCAGGCAGGTACCAGGGATTGATAGGGTGGAGACTGAAGAGCTTTAAGATCCCAGTGAAGACTTTGGGGGCTACATGAGTTGACAAAACAGTAAGGGGTGGAAGACATGGAGGTGGCTCACCCACCACAGCTGGGTGGATACTGAGTACAGTCCATTTCAGCTTGTCCTCAGATATACATCAAGCACTGCTCTGACATTTGAACCTCAGGCTCTCACATCCAAAGGTCCACCCCTAACAATTCTTCGAAACTCCACAGCTCTTTGTAGATGCCTGATTGACTTTGATGAGAAGCCTTAGAGAGACTTCAGTGCAAGTCTCAGGATCTCATTCTAACCTGGATGTCATCTAAAGTCACCACCATTCAGAGCTCTGAACTGAAAGTTTTGCAGGCATCAGGGAAGCATAATATGATCCCATCCAGACAAGTCCAGACTTCACGCCTTCAAGTTTCTTCTCTTTCGTTACAGGAGGCATAAACTCAAGCAAGCGTACACCTGACATGTGAGCTTCTGGGCTCTAATTACTGCCTATTTATCACATTGGAGATAAAGTCACTCTTGTGGCTTTGATTAAATGGTCAACCATCTTTTAAAGATTTTATTGTCAGTCTTTCTCCTGATCATTCTTTGTACTTTTCTCTCATTTTGTGAAGATTTGGGCCCAGAAAATTCTTTAAATACCATGTCTAAGTTGCTTTCTGATGCTATCTATCTTATGTTTCTTTTGGGTCATCAGAGCTGAGGTAAAGATGAACTTAGATCAGGCATTAACACCTTACTGCTATTAGTAACATGTTCATGGGGCTGAATACAAGGCTCAGAACTTAGAATGCAGGCTGCTCATCTACAGGGCATGACTTTGATTCCCAGGACCCAAGCACCCACAAAACAGCTCACCACTGTCTGTACCTAGAGTCACAGGGGATCAGACACAATCTTCTGGTACCTGACATGCACTTGATATACTCACTGGCAAAGCTTATACGCGTAAATTAAATTTCACTCTTTTTTAAGATAACAGGCACATGAAAAAAATCTTTTTTTACAATATGGAGTCACGAACACATCTGCCTTTTTACCATTTGCATATCTGGAGGAATTCACCTGATCTCCAGGACCTGAAAATACAGGTAATTCTGACCAATCTGATGTAGGTGCTAGGAATTAAACTTGAGTACCCCAGTGGATCAGTACTACCTGGAGCCAACTCTCCAGGTCCCAAATATGTCATCAGAATGCTGAAGATGAAGATGTCCCACTGCTCCTTCTGTCTCATATCACTTGAAGGCAAGGAACGTCCCCTCTAGATGGTTGTCAGAGGATTCAATATATTTCTATACCTCTGTGAATGGACTCTCTCTATTGGTTATTTTCATTGTTAACACAGTTCTCTTAATGTGAATAAAGATAACAAAAGCTTTTGTTGAAAAAAGTCAGAGCCAAGCCAGATTATATTAGAAAAAGTTCTATAATTTGAAATATACTTTTTCTTTTTGGAATTTTTTGAGACAGATAGGTCCACAGAATGGTAGCCACTCTAGAATTTACCATGGAAACCAAGCTGACCTGAAACTCACAGAGATTGGCCCAACACATTCTCCCAAGTGCTGTGATTACAGCCATGTACCTCTAAGTGCAGCTGAGGTATGTGTTTTTATCTCTCATTGGATTGGAGAATGAAAAGATAAAATAAGATTTAAAAAGGGACTGTTTTGATGAACAGCAATATTTCTTGAAATTCTATAACTTAAATCAGCAAATCATTTCATATGTTCTAGATAATTGGGTTATTCTATGCTTTTTAAATTTCATTCATTTAAAAATGTTTGAATTGTGTTTGTGTGTATACACCTGTGCCATGATGTGTATGTAGCAGTTAAAGGACAGCTTACAAGTGTCTATTATCTACTTCTCATATGTGAGTTCTAGTGATGAAACCTAGGGAGTCATTTGGCTGCACATGACCTCAATGGCCCTTATTCAGGCTTACAAATTATTTATGTATGTGCTGATGTAGGAGTGTGCATATGCCACTACCCAAGTGTAAAAATAAGAGAAAAACTTGTAGGAGTAATTTGGGTCACCCAGAGATAGAACTCAAGTCATCAGGTTAACAGCTACTAACTTTAATGAATGAGGCAATTCTCTGGCATTCAATTGTGGTTCTGAGAAAATGTTATAAACAAATGTTTAGTCCTCAGAATAAACAAATTAAAAAGTGTATGGTCATATAAATATTTTTATATGCAAAGACGATTTATTATTCAAATTGTCTTGTTTTTCTCTATCCTTGCATGAAATTAAGTTTACAATCTGAAAAGAAGACAATAGTTGTAATATTTCTACTAATCTTATTTGAACATCAATGCTATGGCTCAGTGGAAATGGTCCATAGCTGGAAACTTGACCTTGATTACCATATTAAGAGGACAAAAAGTAGAAACCACAAAACTGTCTTCTGGAGTCCACATATCTGTCATAGACCTACAAACACATAATCATGTTATACACACACCATAAATGTTTGTTACAAAATAAATATTAGTGCCATTACACTACAACTCTGGATAATTCCCTTAGAAGGCAGTACTTCAAGATGAAATGCTTAATTAATGGGGACAGGAAGAAGTATGAAAAAAAAATATATATATATATATATGAATTTGTGATATATATATATGTATATATATATATATATATATATATATATATCCCTAAATACAAACTCCTAAAGGTCTTATAATAAAAAACCCAGAGCCAGATATTAGGGCAAATGCTGAGATATCAGAGAAACAAAAGAATAAGCCACAGCTAATTCTCACCTCACCAACTCCACAAATCCTCTGATTGAAAGTCTCTGAGTCCTCAGCCAAAAGGAGTCCAGCCAAAAAAGGCTTCAGCTGAAAATGCAAGGGCTTAGTTCCTGTCTCCTCAAGCTTTATATACCTTTCACCACCAGGCCATATTACTTCCTTCTTAGTGCAGGGATTAAAGGCATGTAATTCCCAAGTACTGGCATTAAAGGTGTGTGCCACCACTGCCTAGTTCTGTTTCTTTCCTAGACTGAATCAATCTCATATAGTCCAGGGTGGCTTTGCACTCACAAAGATCCAGAAGGATTTCTGCCTCCCAAAAGCAAGGATTAAAGGTGTGTGCCACCACTGCTCGACTTCTATGTTTAATATAGTGGCTTGTTCTGTTCTCTGATCTTCAGGAAAATTTTATTAGGGTACAAAAAAAATATACCATATATATATATATATATATATATATATATATATATACCAAATATATATATTTGTGTGTATCTATAGAACATCAAGATATAGTATGAAATACACAACTGATTGCAGATTATCCTACTTTATTACATATTTACCAGATAAATGAAAATACTGGTTTCAATATACATATGAGGTATTTAATGGTTCTCATATTCTCTTATATTAAGCATTTTAACATTAGCATTGTTAAATTGTGTTGACAAAACAGCACATGTTGGTAATACATCATCAACCCTTGGACTTGTTCTCAGGAGGCAGACATATGAGTATCATGAGTTCAAATGTATTCCTGAATCATTACTGACATCCAAGCCAAGCTGAATAACAAACAACAAAACCTCAAGGGAATTTGTGAAAATATGAAAAACAAAACCAGGAACAACAGCCATTTCACAGATACCCTTACTTGAAAAGTATGATCACATGCTGCCTGATATTTAAGAAAACAATGGATGACTTAGATGATGGGGATACCATTCTATACATTACAGCAGAAAAATACCTATCACTAAGCAAAAGCACAATAGAAGGTGAACAAAAGCCATAAAAGGAATATAATGACCACAAAATAAACTTCACTAAATGGATCTGCCACACACATAGCACACTTTAGTATCTACATCAAATCTTTCAAAATAGAAGCAACAATGCAGTGATCTCCACCATCAGTCTTGAGTGAACATGGTAATTTACTTCCTTCAAGGCTATGATGAAAAATAAATGAAACATGATTTTTCCCTTGTAGCTGAAAACAATTGTGATGTCTAAAGTCTTTACTAAATCGTTTATGTGAACAGGGTTTTTCTGTTGTATGAGTTTGTCCCTATTTCCTGATTTCAAAATAATACAAATAGGCTTTACAATATTTACAGCACTAGAGACATGGCTTGGCAGTTAGGAAATGTTCACTCCCAGGACCTAGGTTCAATTTTTGACAACTTTCTGTAATTCCTGCTACAAGAAGATCCAAGGGTCTAATGTGCACAGGATCGAGCATGCATATTCACATAACCACACAAACACACACTGATATCATATAATTAGAATTAGAAAATTTCTTTTTTTTTTTAAAGATTTATTTATTTATTAGGTATACAGTGTTCTGTCTGCAGGCCAGAAGAGGGCACCAGATCTCATTACAGATGGTTGTGAGGCACCATGTGGTTGCTGGGAATTGAACTCAGGACCTCTGGAAGAGCAGCCAGTGCTCTTAACCTCTGAGCCATCTCTCCAGCCCCCTAGAAAAATTCTTTAAACAGTCTTTTATTCATGAAAGATTTTCTCTTGTAAGCATTCATTTCTGTAACACAGGTATTGAGACATTTAATGGCTTAAAAAAAAGCACTTAGTCATGAAGTCTGAGAAATCAATCCTTCTAAGTTGGTGGTTTTGTTTGGGAATATTTAGGAGATGCTGCCCTGCTGGAGGAAATATGTCACTGGGGGTAGGCTTAGAGAATTTACATCTACAGACCATTTCGAGTTCCCACTCTCTGCTTCATGCTACAGGTTAAGGATGTGACTCCTTAGCATCCTGCTTTAGCTGTCATGTCTGACACTTGTTGCCATGTCACTTTCATGGTGACCTTGTATCCCTCTGGAAACAAGGGCCAAATTAAATTCATTTATAAATTGACTTAGACATTATATCCCAACAATGGAAAAGGAACTAATACAAATCCATAAAGTTTTACACCTGAATTAGTTATTTTGTGTAATTGAAGAGAAATATAAAACCTAAAAGGGTTACATTATCATTTAAATTCATAGTGCAAGTGTTAAAGCTCTGGAGGGAAAGGTACCCTGACTGTCGGAATCAGGCTATACCTACAGCTATGAAAGGAGGGTATGCTGGATACCTACAGCTCTGAAGAGAATGGTACCCTGATGGTTGGAAGTCAGGCTATACCTTCTGCCATGAAGGGAAGATATCCTGGATACCAACAGCTGTGAGGAGAAAGGTACCTTGACTGTTGGGAAGTGAGGATATACCTGAAGCTGTGTTCTAGTGGGGAATGGTCTCCCCACAGGATATAGTAATCCCACTCCTCTCCAAAAGGGAGGCATTACGTCTATGCTCTGCTCCACTCTGCTAAGAGAGTTTCCTAGCAGAAATATCTATTGCTGCTCTTCTCCACTCCTATAAGGGAGTTTCTCAGCAGAGTTGTCAATTTCATCTCAGCTCCAACTCTAATTATTACTTCTCTGCTTCACTCAAGTAAGGAGAAAACTGCTGCAGAAATGTAGCAGTCCCCAGTGAAAAATTATTACTTCAGCTCTGCTCCTTTAAAGGAGTTTGCCAACAGAAGTGTCTGCTGCTTCTCTGCTCCAATCCAATAGTGAGTTTCTGATCTGCTTCATTGAAAAGTCTTCACCCAAAACTCATTCAAGAGATTTATTTGGGAGGGAAGAATCCAGGGGTGGCTGTCTCTGCAGTTACCAACTGAACAGGGACAGTGCTTGAACAAGCTCAAAGATTGGCTGGATTTCATGCTAAGGGACTGGCTGGTTTCAAGCTCAGGGACTGGTTGGTTTTGTACTTATTTGGTCAAGGGTAGAATGTGTTTCTTTGGCTATGATTTCAGAGCCAACGTGTGCTGCTGTCACTGGCAGCTTTTAAACTTTGGGATCTTTTTTTCAGGTTCAGTGTGTTTATTTCACTAGCTCTGGATTCAGGGACAAAGTGTGTTTGACTCTGGTTTCAGAATCAGGGTATGCTTTTTGGCTCTGATTTCAAGGGCAAAGGGTGTGTCTTTCAATCTCTCTGGTTTCATGGTCAGGGTATGTTTCTTTGGCTGTCCATTTTCATCCTACACACAGGGCTTCATAAATTCATGAAATCATTTTTTCCATGTGTTTTCTGGTGCAAACAATATAAAAATGGACATCATAATGCTTGAACAGATTGTTGACACTGTCAAATATTTTTTTTACAGAATACATACTTTTGTGTAACTGATTGTAAGTGTGTTGGCTAAAGATTTTACAAAATAATGTATAATAAGAAACCCTTAGTATCTGTTTCAGATAGTCAAAGACTACTGTAATATGGACAGGCTTTAACAGATTGATTGCACACAAAAAGTTATGCTCTTGTACAAAATGCAAAACTTTACCACACTGACTATATTTATGGGGTTTCTCTGCAACATGATTTTTTCACATGATTTTGAAGATAACTATGCCATGCAAAGGCTTTACCACACTGATTACATTCATAGGGTTTCTCTCCAGTATGTGTTCTTTTATGCCTCCGAAAACCTTTGGGACACGCAAAGGCTTTACCACACTGATCACATTCATAGGGTTTCTCTCCTGTATGTGTTCTTTTATGCTTTTGAAGATAACTGTGCCATGCAAAGGCTTTACCGCACTGATTACATTCATAGGGTTTCTCTCCAGTATGTGTTCTTTTATGCTTTATAAGCTTACTGTGCCATGTAAAGGCTTTACCACATTGATTGCATTCATAGGCTTTCTCTCCAGTATGAGTTTTATTGTGTATTAGAAGATGACCTTGTTGTGCAAAGTCTTTACCACATTGACTGCATTCATAGGGTTTCTCTCCAGTATGTGTTCTTTTATGCATTTGAAGACTTTTGTGATGTGCAAAGGCTTTACCACACTGATTACATTCATAGGGTTTCTCTCCTGTATGTGTTCTTTTATGTATTTGAAGATTGCCATGCCATGCAAAGGCTTTACCACACTGATTACATTCATAGGGTTTCTTTCCGGTATGTGTTATTTTATGCCTTTGAAGGTGACTGTCACATCCAAAGCCTTTACCACACTGATTACATTCATAGGGTTTCTCTCCAGTATGTGTTCTTTTATGCTTTTGAAGATAACTGTGCCATGCAAAGGTTTTACCACACTGATTACATTCATAAGGTTTCTCTCCAGTGTGTGTTATTTTATGCCTTTGAAGATGACTGTCACATCCAAAGCCTTTACCACATTGATCACATTCATAGGGTTTCTCTCCCGTATGTGTTCTTTTATGCTTTTGAAGATAATTGTGACATGCAAAGGCTTTACCACACTGATTACATTCATAGGGTTTCTCTTCAGTGTGTGTTCTTCTATGTATTTGAAGACTTCTGTGATATGCAAAGGCTTTACCATGTTGATTACATTCATAGGGTTTCTCTCTTGTATATGCTCTTTCGTGCATTTGAAGAGTACTGGAATATGCAAAGGCTTTAACCCATTGAGTATTTACTGAAGTTTTCTTTCCAATTTGACTTCTTTCATGCCTGCAGGGATAATGGCACATGAAAAGGGATTAGAACATTCAATATATTGTTGAATCTTTATATCTGTATGAATTAATTTTACAATTTTGTCAAATTGTAATGAGGAATTAGATCTTAATGTTTTATCACTGTGTTTACACTTATGTTGTTCCCCTTCATTAATGGTTGTTTTGCATATGTGAAGATAACTATGATCCTTTATTACATGGTTCTGATTTACAGAATCCTTTTTCTACATGGGATTATTCACATATTTGAAGAGAACTGGAAAAAACAGAGCTTTAATACCCTTATTGCATTCACAAATTTTCCTGCATTGTGAGTTGTACTACATTTTCTAAAATAACTATAAAAAACAGAAGTTCTTACACCATCGTAGAACTTAGGAATTTTCAGCAGTGTGAGTTTGTTGATGTGTTAACAATGAAACAGAAAAATTGATTACTTGTATACATGAGTCAAATTCAACAAGTATACAATGTGGGGATTGCCACATATCTTCATTGTTCTGAGAGAGGAATGTTATATTTTTCCATATCCCTATGCTCATATGACTTCTATCCATAGTGTATATGGATATAAACTAGTAAAGGAAGAATAACCAATAAAAGGTTTCCACATTGAATTCACAGTTTGACTTTCTGTCCTCATAGATTTGTGGTATGGGGATTAAGGCTTCTCCACAACAACTGCTCCATGACTCTTGACTCTTACTACCCCCTCATTAAACAGCACAGTCACAACAATATATGAGTTACACTAGCTTTACTATGGACTATTTGTTCATTAGAAAGTCTTGAAGATATACTTATTACCTCTTCACTGTGTTAACCTTTTGTAATATGAGTGGTATGAAACTAAATGGATTGGCCATTCTACAGCATAGCTCTCATGGAGCTATGATTCAAACTGTAATATATGTTAAGGCATTGTTTCCTTGGTTTATTTCTTAAAAGAATGATTTGCAAATACAATTCATCTACCTGAAATTGAGGTATATGCTTTTGTGAGATTTAATAATTATTGATACACTTTAAGTTGTGCTTATTTACACTGTTGTTTTTGTTTAAAACTCCAGGACACATTATAATTTCTTTGGTGGCACATTTGTTTCAACTTTCACATGGCAATTACCTTTTACGTCTCCTAGAACTTTGACAATGTTCTTCAATATTATGGTCTTCCCAACTGTATCCTAAAATATAGTACCATAAAATGTATGTTATATTATTGAGAACTGTGCAAAATTTTAGTTACTATCTTCAGTGAACCTTAGAAGCCAGCCTAGTGTTTTTCACCTCATTCTTGTTCTTTCTTAATTAATTATAAAAGAGCATCAATAACCAAGAAACAGTTGTCCTCTTATTTAAAAAAAAAAAAAGAAAAATTCAGTCATACCTATACTTGTGAGGTTCCTGTAGGTCTCTAGCATCACATCTTTGTAGAGATTCTTCTGGGAAGGATCCAGCAATGCCCACTCCTCCCAAGTGAAGTTGACATGCACATCATCATAGGTCACCGCATTCTAAAATATTCCATATATATGTACAACAGAAAGCATGATACTGACAACATTATAAGTGTATACTTCTTTGACAACATAGTCATATAATTCTGGTGCTCCCTACTCTTATTCCATGACATAGACATAAGAATGTAATCACCAAGTCGCTTTAGAAGGAAACTGAATATGAGAGTCGCCTCTGTCATTTCTGCACCCTTTGAATGGGATATGACCTTGCAAGTGAAATGCCTATTAACAAACATAGAAAGACAAGTAAACAGATCAACAGCACAGAGTATACATGAGAAAAATTGTATGAACAATTACTAACTAAAAAAAGAAAAGAAAAGAAAAATAAGATAGACAAATTGGGTGTATTGGCTTATGCCTTTAACCCCAGCACTCGGAAGGCAGAGGTAGGTATGTCTGCCTCTGAGTTGAATGCCAGCCTACTCTATGCAATCAGGTCCAGGACAGCCAGAAGTACATATTAAGACCCTATCTCCCATGCAAAAATCTGTCAAACAAATAAAGTAATAGAAAGAACTCAGAGGTTTAAACTGAAATTCCTCCAAAGACTTATGCATTTACACCAGTTCTTTATTCATCTTCCAGAAACCTGAAGTGCCCCAATTTAAATGGTAACACCAATAAGATTTTACTAAAAGGCCCTGTGTGTTTAAACAGTTACAAAAGGACAGATGAAAGCATTAGCAATATAAATGTTGATCATAAATGATCAACACAGGGCAGGAGAGATGGCTGAGTAGTAAAGAGCTCTTGTTGGTTTTGCATTTAGGTAGGCTCAATTGCCAGTACTTACATGGGGATCACAACTATTCTGTATTCCAAGTTCGGGATTTCTGAGAACAGCTTTTGATCACTGCAAGGACCAGGTACCCATGTCGTTTATTACATCAATGAATACAGGTAAAATATTCATATCCATTTAAAATTTCAAAATAAACAAAAACAGGCAGAAAGAAGGTCATGCACCTGCAATCCAGTGCCTCAGAAGGCTCAGGTACTATTAATGTCATGAATGCATGCTATCCTGGGAAACAGAATGATAATCTGCCAAATTTTAAAATTCAAAATATGGGTGAAGCTCAGTACAACAGCATATGCTTGACATATGCCACATTGTCAAAAACCTATATTCCAGGCCCATCACCCAATAAAAAAAAAAAAGGAATGTTGGCCCACCATTAATCCCAGGACTTGGGAACCAGAATTAAGGGAATCTCTGAGTTCAAGACCAACCTAGTGTACAGAGGTATACTTTCAGGACAGCCAATGCTACACAGACAAACCTTGTCTTCAAAATCAAAGAAACAAAATATTTAAAACAGTAGGCTAACAAACTGCTTTAGCACTGAAAAGCAATTGCTTCTACTGTATCTTATGTGACTTAGAGATAGAGTCTATAGTGGTGGCAAACACATGGCAGCACAAGAAGGAAGCTGGATGATTAGTTTCAAGTACAACACAGTAGACACAAAGAACAGGAAATGGGTTGAGGCTATAGAGACATATCACACCTCGAATGAGGAATTTCATCCAGAAAGGCTCCCCCTACTACAAACAACCAAAAGAAAGTCACCAAGGAAAAGACACATGTTCAAATACATCATCTTATCAGGGAGGTTTATCAATCAACTACATTCTAACCCAGGTCACTATAGGCTCATGGTCATTTATAAAGAAAATACATTTATTCAGTCACTTCAAAGATCCTCATAGTCTACAACAGACCTTACAGTGCTCAAGTGTCCAAAGCCTCTTCTGACACTCAGGACAATATCTTGACAGTGATTTCTTGTAAAATCAGAAAACAAGTTACAAGTCTGTAGGTCACTAAAAGTTAAAACTGTCATTTTTTTTCCTCTGCCACCAGTTTCCTGACAGTGCCAGGTAAGAGTACTGATAGCTAGTCAATCTGCATCACAGCTTGAAACGCCTAGTAAGAGGGAAGCCCTTTTTGATCTAAGAGGTTCTCAGGTGCTGTGGAATGTTCTGTATGCTGTGAATGTGTTGCTCTAATTGGTTGATAAACAAAACATTGATTGGCTAGTATTGAGGCAGGAAGTACAGGTGGGATAAACAAACAAGGAGAATTCTGGGAAGTGGAAGGCTGGGTCAAGAGATGCCAGCCTGTCATCCAGGAAGCAGCATGTAATGGCACACAGATAAAGCCACAGAACATGTGTGACATACAGATTAACAGAAATGGGCTGTGTTTAAGTATAAGAACCACTTAGTGGCAGGCCTGAGCTAATGGCTGAGCAGTTTTAATTAATATAAGTTTCTGAGTGATTATTTTATAAGTGGCTGCAGGGTCTGCAGGGCTGGGCAGGACCACAGAAAACTTCACTTACACTTGTCCTCTCTCCATCCTTCCATAAATTCTTCCCTTACAATTTCTTCCATGTTAAGCATGTGTGAATATGTATGTACAAATATATAAATAAAATCTACTAAGTCCATTTGTGTTGGTTGTGTGTATATGGTCAGGGATGAACATATTGTATTGGATATGCAATTAGGGAGCTCAACCTTGCCTGAGGCTAATTCTCCTACCTACCAGAGAATTCCACTCTTAAAAGAGCAACAAGAATCTGACCCCAAAGTGAACTAGGCTGCCTTGGACAGGGAACATTATCAAGAATAGAAAACTTGAGGTGGTAAATACCTCAGCTAACAGTTGCTGGTGCCATGGCCATAAAGTTCTGGAGCTACAGTGAAGACTATGAACACTTTCCTGAACCAATCACAGTCTCCCTTGGTTCTGTGGTCTTCTCACCATACCCTATTGACCATTCTCCTCTTGGACGATTTTGAAATCCTTAAATTACTACATCTACTTTCTAAGTACTATGTTTACAGGCCTATGCCACCATGCCTGACTTAGGTGGCTTCAACTTCATTTAGGGAGGCATTAGATTGACAGGATGAGTAATATAAGAAGTTACAATCAACTATATTCAAAGACTATTTATCTCTGTGAGCCTGGCTTTCACCATCTGCTGAATAAGAACAGACCAGGTCATTTGATGAGTTATACAAGACTCAATAATAAGGAAACATAATATTGCTTATAGTTGTAAGATAGTGGACTTTAAGGCAGGAAGGCTGAATTGGATGAGAGCCTTCTTCTGTTACTGGAGTTAGAACCAGAGCCTGTGCACTGGCTACCCTACCACCTAGGCTCAACCACTCATTCTCTGTAAGCCAATTAAATGAACCAAGTTATCCAGTGAGTGACATGCCACCTATAATGCAGTCACTCTGGAGGCACTGGAAACAGGTCTCTCTGATGTCCTAAAACAGCCTAGTCTATAGTGGGTGTTCCAGGCCATATAGGGAGTCGTGATAATAGTATTCTTTTAAAAAAATAAGAAAAGAAAAAAGAAATAAATAGAAAACAGAAAAAAGCAAAATTACTAATGAAAATTTAAAACATGATATGTATTCAGTTTGACTAATTTGGAACAATGATGAAAATATAAAGTAAATAATCCATCCTAGTATCCTAACAGGTTTAGACAGGAAGCAAATATATGCAAAACTAAGTAATCTAATGAAGGAATATACTCAATTTTCACGTCTCTAAAATCCTCACACATTCTCAGATCCTGTCTCTCCTGTAAGGCGGTCAGATAAAGAGTAAATGTTTCCTCAGTAGAGACATTCTTATTTGGAGTACTCAGTCTTTTCTCACAGGGAAATTTCATAGGGTCCACTGTTTCACTAGTTGTTAGCCAAAAGGAGAGATCTAAATGTTTCTTTAGAATATCCTTATTCCTACCAGGAAGGCAGGTTACAGGGATAGACAGGGTGGGGACTGAGGAACTTTAAGGTCTAAGTTGGGACCACAAAGTGGGGGCCCACAGGAAATTGTCACTGATGGCTATATGTAGTTGCCAAAAACAGGAAAGAGTGGGAGACCTGCAGGGCAGTGATCCACCACAGCTGAGAGGATACAGAGAACACAATTAGGTGACAGCTTGTCCTCAGGTACACCCCAAGCATTGCTCTGTCATGTGATCTGGGTTTCCACAACCAAAAATCCCTCCTAACAATTCCCCCATACTCTACAGATCTTTGCAAATGCCTGATTGCCCTAACCTTAGAGTGACTTGTGGATCTCCTGACAACCTGGATGTCATCTGGAGTCACTACAATTCTGGGCCCCACCTGAAAGTTTTACAGGCATCAAGGAAGCAGAATATGATCCCATTCAGACAAGTCAGTCTTAATTCTTGCAAGATCCTCTTCTCTCCTTTCAAAAGGTATAAACTGCAACATGGGTACACCCCACATATGCCCTTGTGAGTTTGCACTGCTGCTCATTTATGACACTAGAGATAAACTCAGTCTTGTGGCTTTGGTCAATCAGTTAAAAACCTTTTAGGACTTGTATTGTCAGTTATACTCCTGATCATTTATTTTAACTCTTCCTACATTTTGTGGAGATTGGGCTTGGAAATTTCTTTAAGAACCATGTCTAAGTTAGTTTTGAATGCTGTCAGTCTTGTATTTCTTTTGAGTGATCAGGGCTGATGTAAAGATGAAATGAGAATCATCCATTCACACGTTACTGCTTTAATGACATGTTCATGGCCATGTTCAACCCCTGAGAGCACGGGCTGTCATTCACAGGGCCTGACTTGGATTCCCAGCACAAAGAAGACAGCTCACAACTGTCTCTAACTGCAGGCACTGGGGAACAGACTCTCTCACGACCTCCCCTGGGACTTGTCCACCTATTGATGTGCACACTGGCGAATCGTACACATCTACATTAAACCTCGTTCCCTTTGAAAACAACATCTACATGAAGAAAATGTTTTTAAAATATGGAATCACATATATATCTGTTTTTTTATCATTTGTAGATCTGGTACCCTAGCAGGCCCAGAGAATGCATCGGATTTCCTGGACCTAGAAATACAGGTAGTTCTGAGCCATCTGATGTGGGTGCTAGGAACCAAACTTGGGTATGCAAGAGGAGCATGACT